TAGATCCTAGCTTGGAAAAATGAGTGGACAGACATGTCTTTAGTTAATGTGAGAACACAAAGAGAAACACATTTTGTATGATTTAAAATAACATCAAATGGGAAGATCCTTTTGAATTTGAACTTTCCAGATGGGTTGTTTAGCACACTTGAAAACATGCGTTTGGTTTTAGAATTCTTTTAATACTAAATATAAACACTTGGGAGTCACTAATGTGTAAGTATTAGTTGAATTCACGATGGACAGAAGAACCCAGGAACAGGTACAATGAGGAGAAAAATAGGCTGAATGTGGAACTCTGGAAACACCAACATTTAAGGATTGGACAGTGGAAAAGAAGTTTCAAATTAAGCAGAGGAAGAGCAATCATGGCAGAAAGTATTTTTATGAAGAATTAGGAGAGACTTCTGAGAGGAAAGTAATTAACACTTGTTTCCAGTGCAGCAGAGTTGTCTTGCTGAATGAAGACTTTCAGGTCATTCAAAAAGTGTTATTCATTGTGTTCATGCTTCCTCACCATCAGCCGACTTTACCCAGTCATTTAGCCATGCAACACTTTAAGGGTGTCGTAGCATTAAGCAAAGCAGACAAGAGATTCCAACTTCGTGGAGCTCACTTTTTAGTGAAAGGTAACAGTCATTTAATTAGTTACATAAATCAGTGAAGTATTTGTCAACAGAGGAATTACTATTGCTGTTGAGATGACATTTAAATAAAAGTTGAAGAAAAGTAGCCTAGGGTAGAAAACTTTTCAGGTAGAGGTAACAGCCACTGTAAAAACCCTGGGAGTATCACAGGGGCAGCAAAGGACAACATAATGGGACAGAGAGAGTGAAGGACGAAGTGCATAGGAGATAAAATTAGATGTTAAAGGCAGTCAGGTCAGGAAGAGTTCCCTAGGCCATTCAAAAGATTGCTGCTTTCAGTTTGAAGGCAGATGGAGTGCTCTTAGAAGGTTTTGAAGAACTTCCATATGATTCTTCATTTTAACAAGTTCATACTCTTTGCTGGGTAGTGAATACACCGTGGAAGATAAGAGTGAAAACAGAGAAAAACAAGTTAGTAGATTGTTGTTAATAATCTAGTTGAAAGACTATGGTAGCTTTTACCAGCTGTAAGGTTGGTAAAATATAGTTGGATTGGGGTTATATGATGAAGGTAGAGTTGAAATGACTTGCTGAAAAGATTGCAAATAGGGTTGAGACAGTGAGTTAAAGATGATTTTGGGCTTTTTGCACTGAGGAATTTTTGAAATGGAGAACTCTGAGGGAAGATGAAGACCTGAATGATGGACATGTTCAACTACAGATGCCTATTAGCTACCCAGATGGAAATGCAAGAAGGCATTTGCACATTCAAGTCAGAAATTCAGGAGAAACTGGAGAGAGAAGATCAGAAGTTGTGCACATAAAATGGCTTATAAAATCACACAACTGGATGAGATTATTTAAAAAGTGAATATAGATAGAAAATATGCCTAAATCTAACAGGAAAGCTTACACTCAAAAGGCAGTTATTGGGCTGGCGTGATAGCTCAGTGGTCTAAAGTGCCTGCTTAGGCAAGCTTAGGCAAGCACAGGGACCACAGTTTTTTTTTTTTTTTTTTTTT